GGCCCCGGGGCGCGTGCGGGTCGCACACCATACGACAGCGCCCTAGCATCTCGTAGTGCGCGGGCCCGCGGGAGCTCTGCACCAGCAGCGGGATGGCCACCAGTAGCAGCAGCACCATGGTCACCCCGACGGCGGCGCCAGCAACCCGCTTGCGGCGGTTCAGCCGGGACGCGGCCAGGGCCAGCAGATCCTCCTCACTCTTGGGCGCAATGGCGGCGGAGGCCGGGGCCTCTCCGCGGGCCCGCGAGGCGGGGGCCGGGCTCGAGCGTGGATCCCGACCTCCCCGACGGCTGTGCCGAGCCCCTCCCGCCCCTGCAGGATCCCGCCGCTGCGGGGCAGTTACCCTAGGCTTCCGTCAAGGCGGAGAGGCCCTTCTGGATTGGGCTGGGGGCAGCTCCCAAAGGCTCAAAGCCCCGGAGCCCCAAGTCCTCTCTCACCCTCCCGCTCGGTCCCAACAATCGCCTGCGCCCGAGACCGCGGCTTCTCGGACGGCCGGTCTCTTACGGCTTCTGGATGCCCAAGTCACCTGCTCTCCGGACGGCTGCTTTCTCACGATGGCGGCGGCCCGGGACCCCCGCCACCCGGATGGATCGCTGTCGGCCAGATCAGGGACTACTCCCCGCCCGGGACGTCCCGGGCTCTTGCGCAACGGGTAGCACCCACCGGACGCGACCTCCTCACAGGTTTTGCGTTCCGGCTCTTGGAGATAACTGATCCTCTCTGCCGACCCCAGCGGCAGCCCTGGCACCTGCTAGAACCCCAGCTTGCGTCCCTTGGTGGAGAGCGCTCTGCTCTAGCTTTCTCACCTTCTCCCCTCCCTCCCCGGGAGGCAGTGCGGGCTGTGTGAGCCGCCGCGCGGCCCGAGTCGCTTTAAGCGGCGGGAGGTGCAGCGACCTCTGGCGACCAGATCGGGAAGCGCGGGGGCGGGGCAGGCAGGGGCTCCCACCAGCGCTCCCCTTCCCCCCCACCCTCCACTCAGGTCTCTGGGTTCTTCCTCGCCCTGAACCGATTCTGCAGGAATACCTATCACTCTAGCTTCCTATTCATCCTCTTTCTGGCCTCTCTTCCAAATTTGTCATTCCCATAGTCAGATGGGATACGAGAGGTAGTAATGTGCACACACACGTAATATACACACAAACACATAGGTAATAAGCACACACACACACACACACACACACACACACACACACAAACTAAAAAGAATCTCTCACTCTGGGTGAGGACAACACACAAACCAAGAAAAATGAGAAAAGATAAAAATTCATTCCTCCACAAGCCTCAGTGTCTCATCAACATGATAAAAGGGTTCAGGGACACTTGTCCTGGACCGGAAAAGGAGAATCTCCAGCCACTCCCAATTCTGATCCCTGTTGTTCAGTATTGGGGTGCAGAACAGATCAGAGAGTGAAGGAATGAGAAAGAGCGCAAGAAAGCCGACCAGCCTGGGGGTGAGGGCAGGAAACCGACAAGAAAGCAGAGAAGGAGTGACAGAGAAATCAAAGAGACGGAAAGCCAGCTAGAGACGCAGAGACAGAGACAAAGCTTCGAAAAGAGACTAAGTGACAGCCCCAGAGGGGGAGAGGGAAAGGGAGAGGAAGAGACAGAGAAGGAGAGAGAGAGACGGGAGCCGAGACAGGTTGACAGATCGAGAGAGAAATGTAAATGGCGCGCTGCAGAGAGACAACCCTGGTCCGTGTTCGGACTCCAATGTGACATATCAACTGTGGGGAAGATGCGGGGGCGGGGAGCTTCTCCAGCTGGAGTGGTAGGCTTGGGGCCTGTGCTTTGTGACAGTGTGCTCCAAACTGTGGACGTGCCCGTGGGACCCCAGCCCATGTGTCTCTGGGTGAGTGAGAATGTGCGTTGTCTTTGTGTGAGAGTGGTGATTGTATTTGCCTGTGGGTTCATGTAAAGAGTATACTGCAGAGAAAGAGTCAAAAGGCTCTAGACTAATTTGTCTGACCAGCCAACCCCACCTGTGCCTGATTCCCAGACCCTGTCCAGCCCTGAAAGTCTTCCCTCTTCCTTTTACTAAAGAGTATAGTTAGACAAAAAATTCAGAGAAGTTGTACCTTCCATAATACATCTCGGAGGGGTATGTTTGAAGGTGGTTATGCAAATTAACATCACTGAGATGCAGATTAAGTGCTAGGCACCCTCCTGTGAGCGATGGCTGTGTCTGTCTCCTTTCAGGGTGACCAAGACTTGGCTCCTCTGGGGGAAATGTCTTACTCACAGGGACCACAGGACCAAATGTTTGGAGAAGTAAGGAGGTTTGAAAACCCCAGTAGCAGACAGCTGCAAAAGACCTTTCTGAGATTAGGACAGCCTAGGTTTGTCATGCCTACACTGTATAAGATAGAAGGCACAGGGCACATCAGGGCATTATTAGTGCACAGAAGGTGGTTTCCTCAACCTCTGACCCTGCACGTCCCTGCCTGAATCATGATGCTGAAGGGTGCTGAGGCTGAGTCCTTGAGAAGGGAAATCCCTACATGCCCTAAAAGGTTGCGAGAAAAAGGATTGGCAGTCCGTGGGGGAGGGACCTCCTCCTACCATAAATACAAATTTTATTCAAGGTCTTTATGGCCATTTGTCTTCCTCAGGGGGCTGAGGGCTGTGTTGGCCCCATGCATGTCTAATTCCAGACCTGCTCCCCCAGGCTGCATGATGGATGGATCAGAGAGAAGAAAGCAGTTCCTTGCTCTCACCATTCTCTCTGCCTGATTCTCAGGCCCTATCAACCTTAGGTCTTGCTAGTCCTCCCTCTCCTCTATCCCCCTGCCTTCTCTCCACTCATCAGAGCTCCTTTCTCCACTCCACTTGTCCTACTCGCCTGCCCCCCCCCCCAGCATGAGCCCCTCACTTCAGCCTCTTTTAGAGCTCAGCCCTCTTATCCCTGGAGCTTCCTCACTCCCCCCATCTCCAGACCTGGCTGTGAGTGGCGGTGACCAGCAGGGCTGTAAGCGGCAGCGAGTGTGTGATGGGGGAGCAGGCTCGGCTCACAGGGAGCTGAGGGGCCAGCTCCATGAATTTATTCATGTTCTGTTGCTCTTTCCCCACGCTCTGGAATGAAGCTGCCAGCTCACCAGGTCCTTATTGCTTCCCCTGCAGCTGTCACATTCAGCCAAGGAGGGACTTTGGTAAGCCTGAGGCCTTCTGGTTCTTGTGGAGCCAGAAGCCAAGTGCTTAGGTCCAAGCAGGGAGCCTGGGGTTCAAGTTGGGGCCTGAGATGATTTACCTACATCCTCTTCAGCAATCAAACTAAGTGACCCTAGTGAAGTGGTGTGGTTGAGAATGGGAAAAGAGTAGAGATGGTGTATGCACAGAAGGGACAGTAGAGGGGTGGGAACAGGATTGTGGGAGTGGGTGAGAGGAGATGAAGTCTCAATGAGGCCTCTCTGAATTTAAGAGCTCAGTCTGAATTCTGCCTTAACCTCCGTCTATGACTCTACACCAAATCTGATGTTAATTCCAAATTATACAGATGGCTCTCTACCCAATCCTAAAAGGAATCCTAATTGCATAACCTGACCCTAAATGGAACTCATCCTCACTTGCTCTAGAAACCAGGGGTCTCCCCAGATTTCCTTCCAGGGTTATAGCCAGGTGTGTGTCAAAGTTCTGAAGACCAGACTTTAGATTAGCATGTGATTAGCATATGATTTGCATGTGATATGTGTCTTCTATTCTGCAGAAGTTTTCAAGTTAAAATTTTATGAAGTCTAGTGGAAAGGTCCTGGCTCATTGATGGTTTTCTCTTTTTGTTCCTTCTTCCACACTCCTTGTCACGACCTAGACTGTTTCAAAGGAAGGGGGAGCGAAAGAAGGAGAGTAAAAGAGTGCTCCTTGGGGGAGACCTTGGCAATGTAATCTGCCCTTAGCTGCAACATTTGCAATGTAATCCTCCCTTTTCTCAGTTTCCTCATCTAACCAAGTGGCTGAGGTTCTAGTGGGATTTAAGAAAGCACCTTTTTTTCTTTTTTGGGCGTTTTCCTTCCTACCTTGCAGGGTCAGCCATGCATTCAGCTCCCACAGTGAAGAAGATCAGGCAGTTCTGGAAGCATCCTGGTTGCTTGGGACCAGATCCCTGGCATGAAGGGAAGGGAATTTTGCCCACCCAAGAGGGTAAAGGATGCCATGGGAAGGGAACTTTACTGAGAGTTGACTACGTTTTAGGGCGTGTTACATACAACTTCTTATTGCATCCTCACAGCATTCCTAAAGGTGTATATTCTCCAGTTTTACAGATAAGGATCCAGAAAAAGGAAAATGGGTTGATCAGTGTCACTCTACAGAATGATCGACCTAATATTCGTTCTGATCCCCTGGTTTTCTCTTGGCGCCCTACAGAAGAGACACATGGCATCTGAAGTCGTCGTGGGTGGGTGAGAGGAGCAGAACAGGAATGGGAGCTTGGAGTCTCAGGGGAGACCTATACGTGTGAGGCCAACTGGGGCAGGGCTTGTCCTCAATGTGTCACCTGCCCTGCCCCCGCCAGCGCCTTCCAGCTCAATCCATGCTTTAACCAACTGTTGTCTAAGGGGTAATCAAATTAGCGGCTGGGAAGAGCTTTTCAGATGGAGTAGGAGAGTACAGAAAAAGGGAAGGGGGGGGGGAAGGAAGGCAATCCGGTGGAAAATTCGCTCCAGAGGAAAAAGGGAGAACTGGTCCAAAGGTGCCTCTCTGGGAAAGCGTCCTTTTCCCAGTCCAATTTTCCTCCAGTGGTGAAGGCCTACTTGTTTATGTGGCAGAGTGAAAGGGCCAGTGTGCGGCGGTGCCCAGGGCGCCCACTCCGCAGCTATGCCCTGGTAGTGCGGCTCCGTGCAGCCCGGGGTTCACCTGGCAGAGCCAACAGGGCTGAAGACAGGGCAGAGATTGCCTGGAGGGCGTCTACCAGGCCTGAGCGCGCTGCTCACTTGCTTCCACCGCTCTCCACCCTCGGCCAGGTGCGGTTCATCCTCCCCTCCCTCTCCAGCACCCCCTAGCCCCCGCCCATCAGCTCGTCTCTAGTTAATGAAATGTGGCGAGCGGCCGCACAGACAGCTGTCAGACCCCTCATTTCTCCGGCGGGATGTTGGATCCCGCTCTGGGAGACCGACAGGTGAGCGGAGG